GAGTTTGGGTGTTTTAACAAGATTTCAGAACGTTGCAGAAGTTAGAAAACTCATTCAATGTGAAGTTAGAAAATTCACAATTCCATTGCCATGACAGCATGCCCTAATTCAAAACTATACGAACGATCCATGACGATCCTTCGCGATGCAGTGGTCTCATGAAATAAGGAAAAGTATTCGTGCTAGGAACACACGCGGATTTCGGACAAATAAATCTTGCTTGTATTTTGTAGATAATAATACTTTGTTTCATAATAAACAATTTGTCAAGTGTCTCTTAATTACTGGTAATAGTGCATATTTCAATCGGGAAAATCTTGATTATTATTTGATATGTCGTTTTTTGCATATTTCAGATACATCCAGAAATATGCTCCCGATTTTAAACATTAATATCTCCGTGAATTTTTAAGTGAAATACAACTGTAATATATCGAAATCTAAGTTAGTCCTTCTTTTATTTGTTGCAAGTTATTTCTCTTTAAAATCTGTACCTGTTTAGAAGTTATTACGAATCAAACCGGAGTACTACTTTTTTTTGGGACACCCGGTATTGTAAACAACGAAACGTTGGCTAATAAATGTTTTACTTTTGTAAGGTGTGTTAATATATTTATATCTTATGAAAGATGCCACAGGTCATAATCTCAATCAAAGCTGCATGCACATGAATAGGAAAGTCATGTCATTTTTACTTAGCCTAAAACAATAATTTTTTTATGCTTAACAATTTTCCTATTCTTACTCAAAGAATATTTTTGCTTGTTTTAAGTAAAATAGTTCTTGAAAACATTCTTGTCTAAACAAAAATTCTTTAAAAGGTTTGAATCCAGGTTCATTCATTTTTTTGTTTGTTTTATTGTTCTTCTAGATTATTACAAAATTAAATAGTTTTGTCTGACGTTTCGGTTTCCTATACGAAAACCATTTTCGAAGACTTGAACGTTTGTTTATTTTATCCGTTGATGTTTATCTTGCATCAGCTGCACCACAGTATAGGAAGTTATACCAGAAGCGTAACTCTAGTTGTTTCCCTTATTGTTTGACGTCCACCAAAATTTTAACTCGCTCACGTCAGGCCACGCCATCCTGGCTAGTACAGCTGGAAGTTTTTATCAGGATTTGGTAGGTACAAAGTGCCGGTTGTACTAGCCAGGATGGCGTGATTGATGACGAATCGCTTGTAAAAACGCGGACAAATATTTGCTCGAGTTACGCTTCTGGTATAACTTCCTATTCTGTGGCTGCACGTTTGCATGATTGTCTTCGCGTGCGTTTACATTCTGCGCGCGCTCGTTCATTTGCAATTAAACTATAATACGCGCCTGGCATTTCGCGGCAAACATTAATGCTTTCCTTCTCGCTCTTCGTATGCCAGCTTTCCAAAAACATTCTCTGACCATGATGTGATGCGTACTCCAAGCAGCTAGTGGCTCCTTCCCAATCCATTTCGTGTCTTGTTGCCATATGATGAACTGCAATAATGTTACTAGCGTCTTTATTTGTTATGCAGCGCTTATGTTCTTTAATTCGGCATTCCAAAGTTCTTCCAGTTTCCCCAAAATAGCTAGCCGAGCACTCAGCGCACGTTATTTTGTAGACTGTTCCCACCCGATAATTCTTTAGTGATGGATTTTTCACTCTGGTTAGAACATCCCGTAACGTCGTCGTAGGTTTATGGGCCACTACGATGTTGTAGGGTCTCAAAATTCGCGCAATTCGCTCTGACGTGCCTTTGACGTACGGAATGGTGGCAATGACTTTCTTATCTTCACTCCGATTGGATATCTCATTAATATCGGCTGTTGGTTTGCTGAATTGCTCGGTAACGCTGCGTACAAATGGTTTAGGGTAGTTATTAACGTCGAAACTTTCATTTAGGTGTTGCAGTTCCGTTTTAATATCTTCGCTTGAACTACAGACTACGTGTGCTCTCTTAACCAAAGTTTTTAAAGTGGTTGATTTTTGTGAGGCTGGATGGTACGACAAATTATCTAACAAACGATCAGTACTGGTAGGTTTCCTATACACGCTTGTTTGGAGGGTGTTTCCGGCTCTGATGACACGACAGTCCAGGAAGGCAATTTTCCCGTTTAATTCTGGCTCAATTGTAAACTTGATATACTTGGATTCTGCTGATTTAGGTGTTCAAGAAAGTTGTTCTTTTCATCTTTGTGAAAACTTGTCAGGGTGTCATCGACATAGCGGAACCAGAAAGATGGAGGGTTGATGTAAGTAGCTAATGCCTTCTCCTCCAATCGCTGCATTACAATCTCTGCTACGACAACTGAGACTGGAGAACCCATGGCCGTGCCATGAAGTTGTTGGTAAAGATTCCGCTCGTATTGGAAAAACGTAGATTGTAGACAAAGGATAAGAAGGTCGATTACTTCTTCTTTAGGGATAGGAAGCTCGTCGCTGTAGTTGGTTAATGACTCCTTTACGCTTTTTATTGAGCTCTAAAGGGATACTCGCAAATAAAGATTTCACGTCGAAAGATACGAGTTCGTGATCTTCGCTTAATTGCACATTCTTGATTTTGGTTACAAAATCCGGGGAATTGACCAAACGACGGCTGGATTGCTCGGTTAATGGTTTAAGGATGTTCGCAAGATATTTGGACAGTTCATAAGTTGGTGATGAACAAAACGAAACGATTGGTCTCAATGGTGTATTCTCTTTGTGAATCTTGGGCAGTCCGTACAATTTTGGAGTTTGAGCAACGGAACAGTACAACCTTGAGTATAATGGTCTCTTTAAAATGTTAGCTTGATGTAATGGATAAAGTTTTTCATTAAGTTTCAGTTGTAATTTCTTTGAAGGGTCGCTCTTAAGTTTCTTATATGTTTTATCATCACTAACAAGATTATCCATTTTCTCGCGGTATTCTGTTTTATTCATAACTACTGTCACGCGAGCTTTATCTGCTTGTGTAATGACAATTGAGTCATCTTTTCGTAACCTAGATAATGCTATTTTGTTCGTCCTTAGTCAAATTGTTTACTGGCCTACCACTTGTCTGAAGTGTAGATGCAATTTTACCTCGAATGGTTTCTTTCGCTTCAATGGATAGATCTTGGTTATAACTAATGGCAGCTTCTACACTTGCGAGTATCTTGGCTGTTGGCAATTGTTTAGGAGCTAAAGAATGTTTCATGCCATAGGATAATACACTAACTTCATCTGTATCTAAGAGTCTGTCCGAAATATTCTTAACCTAATTTCTAGGAGCTACTTTTTGATTTTGTTTCCGACTTGAATTTTGAAACAATGCGTTTAATTTCTTATCCAATCTTTCCCGTGTTTCTGATTTAATCTTATCTCTTCGTTCTTTCGCAATTTTCTTTAGTATGTTTAGTAAGTTTTCAGGAATGCGTTCATCAATGTATCTTTCAATATTTTTGCATGCTTTCTCGTGAATATTTACTCTCTTGTGACAATTATTAATTCTCAAGTTGATTAGTTTCTTACTAGTTCGTCTTACCGTTTTTATTCCTTCTTGTGTGTTTAGCGGTGATTTTAATCTAAGGCTAGCTGGAATTAAGCCATTCTCTTTACATCTATGATTAAAGTACAATTGCTCCTTTATCTTTGATATGTTTTTCGTACGTTGAATGTATTCTTTCGCAAGATGTCATATCTTTCGTCCATACATTCGTAATGAACAATTACAAAGATGAAAAGAACAACTTTTTTGAACACCTAAATCAGCAGAATCCAAGTATATCCAGTTCACGATTGAGCCAGAATTAAACGGGAAAATTGCCTTCCTGGACTGTCGTGTCATCAGAGCCGGGAACACCCTCCGAACAAGCGTGTATAGGAAACCTACCAGTACTGACCGTTTGTTAGATAATTCGTCGTACCATCCAGCCTCACATAAATCAGCCACTATAAAAACTTTGGTTAAGAGAGCACACGTAGTTTGTAGTTCAAGCGAAGTTCTTAAAACGGAATTGCAACACCTAAATGAAATTTTCGACGTTAATAACTACCCTAAACCATTTGTACGCAGCGTTACCGAGCAATTCAGCAAACCAACAGCAGATATTAATGAGATATCCAATACGAGTGAAGATAAGAAAGTCATTGCCACCATTCCGTACGTCAAAGGCACGTCAGAGCGAATTTTGAGACCCTACAACATCGTAGTGGACCATTACCTACGACGACGTTACGGGATGTTCTAACCAGAGTGAAAGATCCATCACTAAAGAATTATCGGGTGGGAACAGTCTACAAAATAACGTGCGCTGAGTGCCCCGCTAGCTACTTTGGGGAAACTGGAAGAACTTTGGAATGCCGAATTAAAGAGCATAAGCGCTGCATAGCAAGTAAAGACGCTAGTAACAGTATTGCAGTTCATCATATGGCAACAAGACACGAAATGGATTGGGAACGAGCCACCTGCTTGGAGTACGTATCACATTATGGTCAGAGAAAACAGGTGGGAAATTTGTCGTCGCTGACCAAAAATTGCGGGCAGAAACAAACCTGATTGCATTTACATTCAAAACAAAACAGAAAGTTAGCAAGAAGCTGTTTTAGCTGACGATTTTTTGCTTTCCATTCAACGATTTGCAAATTATTGGTTATTCTTTTAAAAGTCGATCATGAATTCTTTGTTTCGGGATGATTGTTTTGTAATCGAGTGATTGGAAGAAGTTAATATGGCGACGTGAACATGGGAGTAAATACCGTATACGTCGATCTATGGCTTGTTTAGAACCGTAATAAACGAAGAAAGACGTGATTTGAGAATGAAATGTCAGTTGAAATTAACTTTATATGCCTCAAATTTTCCATCCTATGTTTCATAATGTAACTTCAGCTGTCTAAGTTCAAAATACAAGCTCGCGAAATTTGACAAATTTTGAAAATATGTAAAAA